CTTTACTGACCTGTGATGGACATGCACTACAAGCAAGAAATAGGCTGTGGCTTTAAGCTACTGAGATTTTTAGATTTTTGTTAGCACAGCACAACCTTGCATATTCCAACTGATTCAGAAGCATATAGACAAAAGGAAATTTCCCCAAGGCCACACAGCTAGAATGTATCTGGCTACAGAGTTTATACTCTTAACCACTTTGCTTTATGTTTCTCAATAATTGACAGGAATATCAATATTAAGAATATCTTATCATTAGTGCATTGTTGTCATTGCTTGGAGATCTGTTTCTAGATTTCATTAATAGCTGTTCTTTTCTGAATGAGTTGGCTCAGAACAAAACCTAGTCTTTCTTCAGCTTCTACTGCAACAGCAGCCAGCAGCTAGCAGAGACAATGGATGTGGATGACACTGGACATGTTCCTTCTCTATATGACCTCACAGCAGCCCCCAAGGATGCAGCCACCATGGCTGCCAGAAGAGCCTGGTTTGATCCTTACCATTAAACCCCACACACAGTGTCTCCTAGAATGATTTAAAATATCTATGGTCACTCAGTAGCAGGTAGCCCCTCAGTGGCAGGTAGCCCCATTCTCACTCAGCCTCTCAGCAATGAACAACTCTCTTCGTACTTCTTCTCCCACTAGCCCATCATTCTGTGTCTCTTCTCATGTCTCTTTACAGTGAACAGAGACTTCAAATGTGTTTTCAGGCCAAATGAGAAACTTTATTTACTATGCTGTGAGACTGCCCAGAGCTGTGAGGGCCTGAAGTGTAGGGATTCAATGAGGGAATCTGCCTGGGTTAGAAACACAAACACCCAAGGAGAAGTGACAAGCTTCAGCCTCTGCTCTTCCCAAGGAAAATGAAACAGTTGTTAAGAAAAATGCAGAAGGAGCAAAGGCTTAAGCAGTGATAAAAAGTCAAAAAATTAGGTGGAAAAGATTGGTCATATATACTGAACATAAATCCATAAAAGAGGCCCAGTTTTATGGCACACATGGCAATGCATTAAACTATAAGCTGGAAATTCACCGAGGGAAAATATAAATACATATTTAACAGGAGTGACCACTGTTGAAGTAATAGTGTTATTTACTTGTTTATTTACTACATTTCATTCAGCTATGATAATAATGAAATTCACAAACAAATAAGAAGGCAGCCACTTCTTAACCCTCTTATTTCTTCTTTAAGCTCTAGTGATCACCTACTTCATAGGTTTTCTTTTATAATAAAATGTTTACTAATTGCATTTCTTCAATATTTTTTATTTATTTCTACTTGATACCTCTTCAGCCTGCTAAAATTGTTTTTTCACTAAACTTTTGAAAATGTAAAATAAGTGAAATTTATTTCCTTAAAATAGCCAACAGGCCAACTTAAAAAATTATATATTGGGAAAGCTCACTAAAATGCTACTCTCATGTTCTTTCTAATTTCAGTCTTACAGATGTGACAACCTTATAATGAAGTTCTTTTTGTACTTAAAGAGTCAAATCACTCTGGATGGAGTCCAAGACTTTAAATGAATTCCATTTCATAGCAAATAGTGGTTTTATCAGTGATATGGTGTAAGTTCATATCTCTTTTCCAAGAGATCTTCATAACTCTCATGAGTGAAACACTTTCAAAATTAATAATGATTTACTATAATATGTTGGCTTTGTAAGTGAAGTTATAGCATCTCTTTCTGGAAGCCTTAGAGAACAGGAAGAGTTCCCATTGTGAGATTTTAATATTATATTAATAACCAAACTGCTATGGTTTAAATATTTGTGTCCCCTCCAAAATTCATGTTGAAACTTAACTGCCAATGCAACAGTATTAAGAGGTAGGGCCTTTAGGCGTTGATTAGGTCATGAAGGTTTCACCTTCATGGGCGAGATTAGTGCCTTATAGAAGGGCTAGAGGGAACTACCTAGATCCTCTTGCCCTTTTTTGCCCTTCCATCCGTTCTGCCATGTGAGGACATAACATTCATTTTCTCTGGAGAACCAGCAACAAGGCGCCATCTTGGGAGCAGAGACTGGGGCCCTCACCAGACACCAAACCTGGTGGCATCTTGATCTTGGACTTTCCAGTATCCAAAACTGTGAGAAATAAATGTCTCTTGTTTATAAATTACCCAGTCTTAGGTATTTTGTGACAGAGGCACCAATAGACTAAGACATAAACTCATTTCTGAAAGACATCACTGAAAAAAGACAGATGGAAGGGACTGTCAACATGTGAGGGTAGAATGGGATGGAGTTATCTTGGTCCAACGATTATCTTGAGAGGGAACTGAGGACTGAGTCATTAGCACATGCATCATCACATCATACCAAGTGAACATGGTGACTATTCAGAGAGTTCAATGTTGTGTACAACTGTAATAAAAGAAAGGGAGAAGAAAATGACAGTTACAGTTGTAGATAGACATATGGCAAAAGTATAGAAATGGAAAAGATATGCCCATGTACCATGCTAGAATACAAATTAAAGAAAAATACATGTTTGGGAGCTTCCAGGACCATCTTGATTTCAGCCTCCTTGCTAGATTCTAAGTCTTGATCTCTGGGAAAATTTGGACACTATAATTATAATTCATACTCATTATATCCATTATATCATAGAGCTATTCCTCTTTCTCTCTGCAAATTTTCCCCCAGCTTCTCTGTCATTTATTGATATCAGATAATGTAACACCGAATTCAGAAAACCTAAACTAAAGAATTTGTTATTTTAGTTTCAGCTCTGTTTGCTCTGAAGGCAATGCCCCTTTCCACACCCCATGCTGCCAGTGTTTCACTGAGGGCACATTTCTCATTTTTTCTAGCTCCTCCCTCACTTGTTGGAAATTACAATGGAATTAAATATTTTCATATGTTTAACCACTAGTGGTAAATTCCCACTCTCTCCCTCTAGAAAGTGGGGAATACCCATCTAAATTACTTATTAACTTTTTCAGTAGGCAATGCACAATTTTACAGGTGAGCCCTGCGATATCCTGCTAATTCAGTGATTATGTCTTACCAGGGTGGTTATTACTAATTCAACCAATTGTAAGCCAGGTAAATCGATTCTAGTGAACCTAAGAAAAAGAACATTTATTGAAAGACTTTGAGGAGCTCTGAAAATCAATAGCAAAGCTGGAGAACCAAACAGGAACTAAGCGCTCTGGATCTAAGATACAAGAACTAAAGGAAGATCTTATAGAGGAAGTTATCTTCTCAGCATGGCAGCACTGGAATAAAAAGTCTCCAACAGAGATTTTTTCCAGTCTCCTTGTCTCTCAGCTAATAATTCAAATTCCAAGGAGGCCATTTGTCAAACTCTTGAGGAAAGGACACCTGCTTAATAGGCCCACCAAATCCAATGGTGGAAAGACAGAAAATATTGGAAGTTAGGAGAAGTCTACTATTCTTGTTTAAGTTCCTAGCACTCATGCTAAAAAATCGCAGCTAGTACATAAGCTGTAATAGTAGATGATCTATTCTGTTTTAAAAGCTCTGTCTTGGAGTGATTTGCACAGCATTTTCTCAGCCACATCTAGCAATCAGCTCCTGTCACTAAACCAAACACGCATGCAAACAAACCTCGGAAAACACTAAGTGGGCTTACGTCAGAAGTTAACAAAGAAGCAAACAAAAATAACAACAAAAAAACTTGTTCCTCCAATGGTCATCCTCACCTGGCAAACAAACAAAAAGTAATAGCCAACAAATACACTGTCTAGTTTTGTGCACTGTGACTTAGATCTTTTGTAGGTATTATCTCATTTAACTCTCCCCTTGTAGACTGGTCCTGGAGGCCCAGGTAATACTCTTGACATTTGTATACCTAGCACCTTTCTCATGATCAGCACATTAACAAGCCCATATAAACATTCACTGAACAGAAAGTGCATCAGGGTTCACGGTGCCATGTGGAGTCTAGGGTTATAATAAGCTCCTCTCCGTGCTATACCTCTAGCTCATCCCTGCCCCATAAGCAAATGATGCCTACCTTCCACACCCCTTCTCTCACCACTGCAGACTGTTAACTTCATGAGGTCAGGGTCTTAACAAATATCTATGGTCTGAATTCTTAGTAGAAAATTGTAATACGTCTTACAGTTCACCTAGCCCTTTCACATACACATATGCACATCTCTGCAGAGCCAGTTAAAGACATGAGCTCTGGAGCCAAACGAGCTGAGTTCAGACTCCAGCTCCACCACCTACCAGCTGAGTGACCTTTGGTAATACACATAGCTTTCAATCCCTCAATTTTCCTACCTGTAAAATGAAAAATAACAACACCCAAAAAAAGCTGGTTATTGTATTAAATTGTTAATTCAAATAAACCTCATAAAATGGAGCCTGGTACATAGTAAGTGATCTTTAAACGTCAACAATTATTAATTTTGTTTGTGGTTGTTTTTCTCTCATCACAGTGTTAAGAATCAATTATTCCAACTGCCTAAATCATTTCTCCTTTCCTGTAAGAAAATATAAAAAGGGGTGTCTTTACTTCAAAATCCTAAAATTAATTTGCAGCCAAGAGCAAATCATAATCTCAGCAAACTGACTTCTAAAGCTATTTGCAAAAAGAAATGTATTTATAGGGACTGTTCTTAAAATAAAATCCTAAATGGCCACAGATATTCTGGAGTTTCTGGAACCTTCCCCAGCAAAATTTGGCATTATTCTTTCCACAAACAAGAACAGCCATAATGACTTGAACAGAAGTGTTCATGTGAGTAAAAACACACGCATAAACACAAGGCAATGGAATTAGGTCTCACACACATGCTGTCCTCTGCCTCCACCACAAGCCTCGTTGCCCTATTAAGGCAAAAAGCATGCCAATCCCAGTATGCATCTCCCCATCTCTTACAGCATGAACCTGGTGATCAGGCCACATATTACTTACAAATCCAAATTATCATATTTAACCACTGATGCTTCTCTATACATTGGACAGACAAGGAGGAGAAAAATAAAGGTGAGGGGGCAGCTGAATATTTCATATACCTTCAATACTGTAATGTTCCAAGCAAAGCTCTCAGTTGCCTTGTTGAGCTTTCTTCCTTTCAAGCCTTCTTTTGCCCCCAAATTATGAAGTTCTTCATGGAACTCCATCCCTTTGAAAAGAGAACACATAAGAAATCTTAGTATAAGTTTCAGAAAAATAGGCATTTAATTATGAAAATATCATCAGTAAAATATAACTTCACATCCCCATCCTTTTATAATTTCTAAATCCCTAAATTGAATTCTCCTTCCCATTTTGTCATTCCAACAAATGACTGTCCTTAGGGGCAAACTAGCAACAATCAATACATTAAGCCTAATTACATTTTAAACAGCCAGGAGCCATAGATAAAAGACATGAGGAGTTAAGAGGCACATTCTTCCAACAGATTACATCCATCTTGTTTGTTCTTTTCCTGGTTTTTTAATAAAATGGTATGATGCGTTAATGGTAACCGTAAGTGAGGGGAGCATATTATCTTACTTTTCCTTATGAACCATCCCTATGGCTCAACAGCAGGCCCTGGAACCCACATAGATAACAATCAGTAGTTAGTAAATTTTGACCAAAAATAAAGACTTTCTTAAAAATATTCTTAAAAGTATTCCTGGAAACACCCAACTGTTTCAGATTTTGGAATGGCCTTAAAGTGTTTTTTGCTCATTATCCATTCAAGCTTGAATATTATAAAACACTACCATCATCTGTTTCTTTGTCTTAGCACCTCAGGGATGGGAGCCACATTCTGTTATGGGCAGCTCATTGTCATCTTTGGAAAGTTACGACTGATATCAAACCAACATCTCCTCCCCTGGAACTTTTACTACTTGGATCAACTGGACCCAGACCAACAAAGTCTGACCTCTTTTCCGCAGCGCAGCCCTTTAGATATTTGAAGAAAGATATTCAATAAAATCCCCCCGAGTCTTCTCTTCTCCAGATTAAACATTCTAATGCATTTCAGCTCACTAATGACTCTAGTTTAAGGGTGGCATCCGGGCTGAACTACAGCATTTCCTGGTTTCCTGGAGTTGAGCAGTGTGGGGACCTGCACCTAGGAGTGAACACCATACTCAAAGTGGGCTTGATGCAGCCCACACAAAGTAGGGATTCACCATTTTCCTTGTCCTAGTTACTATACTTTTATTAATGCAGCCTGAAACCACATTAACTTTACTGCTTCCAACATCATAAACATAGCACATGGTAAAGAACATGACCATGGAGTCCAGGCTTACATTCTGGCTCTATCACTTACTAGCTATGTGAACCTGAGCAAGTTCCAAAAACTCTCTGGGCTTCAGTTTCCTCACTGGTGACATGGTGGTAGCAAGAGGGTTTACCTCATGGGATATGGTGAAGATGAAGTGCGTCCATACATATGAAGCTCTCAGAGCAGGGTCTCGCATCGTATATGTATTCGGTGTTATTATTTTTGTGCTTCCTGTCAACTGAAATATCTGAGCCTGCAGTCACTCAGTGAAGAGCACCATTTTTAAAGTTTGGCCCAGGTTCAAAGGTCAGCTCCACCATGTGTTGATATGGCATCTTGGGTAATTCACTCAGTCTCTCAGAATCTCAGATGCCTCATCCGTAAATTGGATACAAAGATGATTACTGTGCAGAGTTGTTATGATGTTGAGTTCAGTATATCATATGAATGTTATCAAGCGACTGTCATTGCTGTCATCTTTCTCATCATAATTATTATTGTGTGTGTGGCTAGAGGAATACATGGATCTAAGAGATAAAAGCACAGGGGTGTGGATGCAGGTAAACATAAACAGAGTTGTACTCTCACAGATACGAGGGTACTTCAAAAATTTTATGGAATAATAGACTTAAAAGATAATACAAATCTTTTCATGAACTTTTTGAATTATCCTTGTATGTGACCCATCCCATTCTTGAAGACAGAACAAATCTGAAACAAGGACAAGCAAATGGGATTAAAGCCTAGAAGATGAACAGAATTTGGTTCGAATTGTAAAAATGATGTGGGTTTTCAGGGACTATGTGGAATCACAGCTTCTATACCAGTAGTAAAATCTACCACGATAGTAGATTCAGAAAACCTCATCCTTTTAAACACCTTCAGACACCACCTCTCCAGTATATACACAAACAACACACCTATTATCACCTAGATTTCTTTTGTACTAAACAAAGACCTAAGTGTAACTTAAGCAATACTATAAAATATTTAAATTTTAAGAAAAAGAACAGAAAGTTTTTGAAAAAAATCTGCCAAAAATTATCATTATGCTTTTTAAACAAAATAGAAAAAAAAAATTACCTGCTTTCTGACACTGTACAATCTTTTCCTGGATTGTGTCTGCCATTTCTATGAGAAACCGGCTCTCTTGAATCATCTGTCACAAAACAAACATCAAAAGGTGGTTGTCAGAAATTCTTAAACTGGCTCATTGGGAAGATTACATACAGAGAGACCCACATTTTACTTTCAGAATGAGGAGCCATGGCCTCAACCATAAGAGATGGGAGAGGGAAGGATAATATTTGTTCCAAACCCCATCCCTTCTAACACTGAGGCTAGAGTCACCTTCCTTACAATTGCTCCAGTGTCTAACATGCCTGGCACACAGTGGGTACCAATAAATAACTGCATACTTAAAGTCCCAAATCATATTCATAAACACCTCTGTTCCACCCCCTTACCCCAAAGTTTACTGCAACATCAAGGTAAGTGGTATTGGAACAATGGCAATGAGATCCAGAACAGAGAATCACCTATTAATAGTTAAAGGACTACTGAATACGTCGGTGAAGTTGACAGCTTGGATTTGGGTGGTCCAAAGACAGTGGAGGGGGTGGGTCAGATTTTAGAGCGAGGAACTCAACAGAGCTTATAGACAATAACAGAGAAATGATTGTTCCTGCCTCTACGTCTGGATAGAAAATAAATATATCCAAGAGGTAATTAATATGCTGAGTGAAGTAGGGGAAATAAGACAACTGTTCTGCTAATGGAGAAAAGAAGAATCTGTATGTGGAAAAGTGATGAAGATGGTAATAAGTAAAGAACTTGTGATCGGAAAGACAGGGGTTGGGGCTCCAATGGAAGAAGTGACTAAAGAAAGGCAACCGATAAGAAAACTAACAGTTCCTGGATTTCCAACCACTTTTCTACTCTCGATAAGTGTCTGTTTCATCTAGCTATTCTATGTTTGTCTGTCTCAGTGTTCTAAAAGGAGTTCAAGGCAGAATACAAAGTGGGCATAAAAAAGACTTTAGTGAGATGGTTTTCCTGTTAATCACAATGAATAAATGCTGTTGAACCAATTGTAGTCTTGTACAATCACTTCCAAATATAAAGTAGGTTATGATTACAAACATTCAAGTGGAAAAGGAGTCATAAATTTTTACTGCCTGACAACTCCATAGGTATATATCATATTATTCATTCCTTTAACAAATATCTTTTGAGCAGCCATGTGTAAGCACTGTGATAAGTATGAGCACAAGGGTACAATACATTGAGGAGCAAAAACAGACTTGTCCATACCTACATGGAGTTCACAGTCTAGCACAGAAATCTACTCAAATGGATGAATGAAATATTACTATAATTAATTCAACCAAACAAAATTCAATTACTCATATTCTCTGCCTTAAGTAGTGTCTTATTTGGAGTCACTAAGTTGACTATTAAAACCACAAAACTGGACTCCCTTCAAGGCCTAGACTGAGCAAAATTTTGGAACTACATTAACTCTTTCAAATCCTAACAGCAAGTGGAATGCTTTTGAGCAATAATTTATCAAATGGCCAACAGTAGCCTGAGTTATTAAAGCTTTCAAGTAAATGAAACTGAAAGCCAAAGATACAAATAATATGAGGGTAATGTGAGTTAATCTTTTCTAACATCCAGACATGCAACATCAATTGGGTTTTCATTTTTGAAGGTTATCAGATGTTCCAATTAGTCAAGTAGCAGACAAAATGTTTTCATGAAATTCAAGTAAGGGAAATATTTACAAAAAACGGTCAAATTCTGTAAAGTTACCATATCATACATTTGGATCTTTGGATTTTAAGGCTAAAGGAATCTTAGATATCATAATCACCTCCTCCATTTTATAGAAAAACATTAATTTGTGATCAAGCTGGGATTAGGATCCCAGTTTCCAGCATTCAACCTATTTCCATTTAAAAATGCCATCTCTCTGATTTGCCTGGCCTGGCCATACCCCTATGGGAGTGCACAGACCTGTGCAAACAAGCAACCTCTTGAGTCTGTACTATAGACTTCTAAAGTCACCTGGCCCAGCCCATCTGAACAAACATGAGGACTAACCTATAAGCAATCCATTTCAACCAGATTCACATTTGTCCTTTTAAAAAAAAAAAAAGGAATAAGATTGATCATTTCTTTTGATAATATATCTTGACTGAGCTGACATTCATTTTACCGGTTTTGCTCTCAGAAAATATGACACCATTCCCTGATTTTTAAAAAACCCTTTATCTTGATTTGTGATCAGTTTCCTTTACAGTAGTTTACTAAGGATCTCCTCAGTGCTGAGTACAAGAGGAATGCACTCTCCGCATCCAAAAATGCCATAGCCTCTTTGTTACACCCTGAGAAGGAAGCATCCTCTTCGCCAAGGATAACTCTTCTACCTGGATTTTCAATACCACCTCTCTCCCTGCCTCTCTTGAGAACTCACTCCTAATGATCCCTTCTTTCTTTCAAGTACAATTTCTACCTCTCCCCTGGCTTCTTCCATTCTATGTACATCTTCTCATATTAAAATAAGCCAACAAAAACAATGACAGACTATTCTAATGGCCTTTGAGTCATTGTCCTCATCTCTCCTTCTTAAAAAGTTAGCCTACACTCATTGTTTTTTCCTATGTGCGACTCCACTGAGACTCTCAAAGGTTAACCTTGGCTTCATCATCAGTCACTCTCTGGTCAATCCTTGGTCCTCACTGTCTCCAGCTCAGCAGGTGACACTTCTAATCACCTCTCCTTCTTCAGTTCCCTGAGACTAGTTCTTTACCTGCTTTGCTGTTTCTCTGTCTCGTGTACCGTTTCCTTTTCCTTTTTTATACTTACACATGTGGGAATCCTCTAAGATACCTGGCCTCGGCTCTCCACTCTTTCCCTTCTCTATTATGTCTCCTCCTGATAAATTTCATTCATTCCCAGAGCTATCAAATATCCTGCACCCATGCAGAGCATTTCAAAGCCAATGTTTCCAACCTTGGCCTCTCAAACTTCAGTGACCTACAACAGTGGTTTCCAAGGTAGGGAGGTGCATGCACCCTGTGGGGGAAGGGGGTGCAGGTGACACAACATCGTCCATCTGGGTGTGAGAAGAAACAATGAGGATTTTCACTCACATTTATTTTATCTGATCTGTAAAATTAAAAAGAAATTAAATTTTACAAATTGATTCCAGCCACCTTGCTAAATCAGTCGTGTGTTTCCAATATAGTAAGCAAGGTACAATGAGGAAAGAAGGGAATTCCACACTGGAGAAGGGCCGACAGCAGCACTCTTATTCTTTTTTTCCAGAAATTTTCAACTCATATATGTCTGTAAAGGAGTGATGTCAGTACCACTTATATTACCTTGTTTTAAATAAACTAAACCATCCCTATGTGGATTCCTGAAAAGAAACGAAGATAACACAAGCACAAGCAAAAACATGAAAATGGCAGGGCAGCTGCTCATCCTACTCCCCCTGTGATCTCTTCCTCAGCCACACAGAGAGGCGAGAACAAAGACAGTCTGATCAGATCTGACATATTCAAACACATTGGGAGAACACAAAGACTTTTCTTATTCATAAATAAATAAGAATATTTTTAAATCCCATGCTGCTTTCTATTTTTGATATGTTTTATTATGTATATATTGGTATGTTAATATGTATGTTAGTTGGTTAATTAGTATGTGTGTGTGTTGGTATATATGTATATACTATATGCTATAACATGCATAGTTTATGGATGAATTCTTAAAATAATTTTACTGAAGAGGTGCCTGTGCTGGGACTCTATCGCCCCTCCAGATCCACTCTCAATCATGCTCTTTGCAAGGGAGGATGAACTTTATGGGCAACATCAACCAGGCTCCCTGCCTTCTGGCTTCTATTGGTATTAGCCGATGGGGACCACCAGCAAGGGATCAAGGACAGGAGGCAAGAGGAAAGAAGGTTTCGGGTAGTCACCCTCTTGATGGGTCCATCCCTCCTGGGCTGTGGTTTGAGAACTTCCTCTCTGGAAGACCGCAGCTCCCATCAGGTGGCAGGTACAGATACACTGAATGCCATGATGGCTCCTTCCCTTGCCCCTTTAGGCTGGGGGGTAATGACAGCTCTCCACTGTTGCTAATGATTGTGTGCTCACCATCCACAATTGGTTCCCCAACCCCAGCCCATACGTTTATAAACAGTCCCTCCATTTACTCTTTCAATCACCCTTTGGAGTGTGCTCCTTACTGAGAGCCTGATCCAGTGCTCGACCAAGAACACCAGAGCTGCCTAGGCTACCAAATACCGGTAACTGTGAGTCCTTCCAGCATCCTCTGCCTCACAGGACGCCCAGGCTCGAACCTCGTACACCCTCTTTGCCTTCCCCTATTCTGAAGGGGGCGCCCAGGTTCTGTCAGTTGCCCAATCTGCCCATCCTGCCACTTTCATCCTTTTGCTTCCTTCCTCACTGCGGCACTCCTAGCTCAAGCCCTTATTCCCATTCCTTGGACCCTCTCCATCTTTCAAATTCTAATAATCCTTCCAGAGACACCCAAATGTCATCTTTAAAAATATTTTCTGCCCCATTTCATCATCCCTGCCTCTCGTCCACCCAACCCCCACCAAAAAAAATGAAGCATTTCCCATCTTCTCCAAGTTCTCACAAAACTCCCTTCGCAGCATTCAGAGGTGGATTTTAATTCCAGCCCAGCACCCTGCAGGTTCTGGTCCTTCCCAGCTCACTCCATCCTAAATACCACTTCCAGAGTCATCTTCCGAAAGCACAGCACTAGTTAATTCCTGGCTTTGTCATCTTCTCCCTGGCTTACTGCAGAGCTTAAGTCACCCCATGCTCAGCCCTTAACAGCTTTTCTGCCAGTGGTTTCCCAATTCTCCCAGGTCCCAGTTTACCTGGAAGAATCATGCTTCCCTAAGTGCACACTACTTGTTCCCCCTTCCACACATTTCTTTCTACTAGGGAAGCCTTCTTAAGCCGTCTCCCCCAGTCAAAATCCTACCAGGCCTCAAAGTTTACTTCAATGCCCCACCCCACACTGGTTTCCTGATTTCCCCTTCTCTCTTCTTCTCACCTCCACATTTCCAGAACATCTTTTTAATTGGCTCACAGAATTTCTAATTTTCAATCT